GAGAGCCCTTCGTCACCTCGACCAAAAAAAGCTCGACAAGTCAAGAGCAACATTAAGTCCATGTTGATCTGTTTTTTTGATATTGACGGGATTGTTCATAAGGAGGACATGAGGAGAAAACCTCCAGAGAAGTGGCGCACGAACGACTAGGTACTCCACCATGACAACGCACGACCGCATACGGCTTACATTATGCAGGAATTTTTGGCTAAAACAAGATGGCAGTTGTTCCCCACCCACCGTACTCACCAGACTTGGCTTCATGCGACTTTTTTCTCTTCCCCAAGATGAAAATCAAGTTGAAGGGGCGAAGATTTGATACAGTTGAGGAAATTCAAGCGAAAACGCAGACGGTACTAAACACGCTAACAAAGAAAGACTTCCAGGATGCATTTGAAAAGTGGCAGAAACGCTAGGATCGGTGTATGCGCTCCCAAGGGGACTACTTTCAAGGTGATGGTGCAGAATAAGATCTAGGTAAGATGTAATAGTTTTTATTAACATATTTCGGGAACTTTTTGATTCACTACTTATATATCCGTCTGTCCGTCACACTCTCTCGGAAACTGATAATGATAGCTGATAAATTCGTTTTACTGATGAAACCGCAGATAAATTATTAATTTTCCTGTTACGTGAATAGGTTAAAGTCCAAATCATTCTTTTGCTCATAATAAAGCACTGGCCCGTGACGATAGCGAATACTTTTGTAATAACCGAACACCTATTTAACTACTCATCAAATTAATGCAGGTTCTTCACAAGTAGACGAAAAATGATGTAATAAATACCAAGACAATCAATAAATCACGGTTAATAATGTAATCGCAAGGATTACTATATGCAGGAAAGAATGAAAAGATCATGAAACAAGGGCTTAAGATAACATCGCATTGTAAATCTTCAGAAAGAAGAAGGAGGCTCTGGAAAGGAGATCTTGAAGTCGGTACAGGCGTTAAGTTGGCCATTCTGCTAAGAAACTAGGTCTATAAATTCTTTATGTTGTTTCTGGTTTTCTGGGTTTCAACGTCATATAATCTCTACTCTGTAGATAGAGGCTGCACATTTCTCTGAAATGTTGGTAACCAGGTAATAGACTAGACGCACAGTCTAAATTTCCACCGCTCTGAATATATTCCCAAATATCAAGATGTATGCGGGCAGGACATGATTAGACACATCCCTCCCAATAGTGTCAATGTGAGGACTGTGTGCTCCTCTCTCTCAACCTCTGTCTACACTTCAATATGTTTGCATTATCTTCATGTCATTTAAAGGCGCAGTCTTCTGCGCATTCTTAATTTGACCCTCGGCCCTCCGTTTTGTGAAGTGAACAGGACAGTTTGTTGTATCTTTGGGAGACACTGAACTAGAACTGGAAGTAAAGTTGCAGAATCAGTTCCTCCTTAACTGCAGCACTGTGAGATGACGCCGGAATTTTCATTACATAACTGCATAAGTTTATAAATTTCTTTTCTTTTGGATTCCAGGACTGGAGCCCACTTCCTCCTCTATTGTTTTTACCCTCCACTCCTTTGCCAGCCAAAACACACTATCCACTCCAGTTATATATGAAAACGGTGGCTTACAGACTCCTACCTTACGAAAATCAATAAAATTATGTGCGTTTCTTCTTCATTCCATGGTGCTAAAAGCAAAACGGAGCTACTGGTTTTTTGGACTTCGTCCATCACCCGGCATTCTAAAGAACACACTGTTACGTAAACTGGATCTGTTTCCGAAACAGGATGTTCTGTAGAACACCGGGCGATGGACAAAGTCCAAAAATGTAGTAATCTCGAGTAGTATGCACCTTCGTAGCCGATTACAGAGGCCGCGCTGTCTAAGGCATGAAATGTCTTCTCCCGCTCTTACACTGATATCAGGGATTCGAATCCCACTCGAGGCATGAATGCCTGTCTGCGTTTATCCTGTGGATGTGTGTCTTGTATAGGTAATGGCTTTGAGACGGGCTGATCCTCTGTCCAAGGAGTCCTACCGAGTGCAAATAAGATTTGAAAACTGCAGTGAAACGAAGCGTTTCACAGATGCCTTCTGCTCCAGTGGGAGCAACAGGAACTAATTGACTATACACCATCGTCAGATCCATAAAAAATCTAACAACAAAGATGACATGGATGATGAACTGGTAATTTAATGTCTTCAGTGGACTGTAGGAAGTGATGCTTTGCAGCCTACGTGAAACGGCCATTTTGATTCTTGGTCATGACATATCTTCACTAGTGTTACTCATCAACTCCATAATGTTCCGCGCACTGTGCACGAGTATTAACGGTAGCAGCGGAACAGGAAAAATGTCAGAAAAGGACAAGTACAATAAAACCCGTCTGCAGATGACCGGCAGACTTATTCAGTTAGAAGAAAACTGTATACTGTGACAGATTGGGCCGTTTATAGGAGACGAATAGGTAAACATGTTCCAACCAACGCGCATCCAACAATAGAATTGCTAGGTAACAGACCGGCAAACACATATCACAGGAACGAATGCGCAACAATAGGGCGTCCATTTCTAGGCAATATATAGGTGGACACGCCTGACAACAATACATGATATCCGTTGCTGAGCAGCTGATATGTTTTCTGGGAGTGGTCCTTGACGAGCCTATGTAGGAAGCAGTGAATACTGTTCGAGAGGAACCCGTGTGGAGGCGGGGTCGAATGCCTCGACCGTGACCCTGCGAGTCGTAGGAGGCGACGAAAAGGGAAGTCTCAGATCTGAGACAGTAAAATATGATCGCGAGTCCCAAGGGACTCAGACTCAAGAAAGATTGCGCTGGCAAGGGCCAGCAGCATATACAAAAGACAGACCCGTCCTCTCGTCAGAGAGGCTGCCCACAAAAAACAAGACTATAACTGCCAAACGGTAATAAATATATGGGGCTCGATACCAAGACTTACTGACTGATTGACCCTCAGTCACAATGTGACTTAGACTTTGACTTTAACAGTTCAGCAGTCGTAAGCTGGACGATTCAAAATTCGTCAGGAAGATGTCGTTCAAGGCAGTTCAGTAGTTGATGTGTTAACCTTGAGAGTGTTATAATTGTTTGTATGTCATAGATACAATACTCGTGGATGTGTAATATCGAATTGTAGCTACGACATTTGAAATTATCCAATAAATCGAATTATCAAATCCAGAACTCGTTATTTACTGTCTGTTACCAGGATACACATGACAATACCTTCCATAAAATTATCAGGTCATTTTAAACTACAACGCATTCGAATTTTATTGGGTATGGGGCAACGGTCTTCCAAAGTTCTTCTGTTATTGCAGGCAAAAGTCGGAGTAAATATGTCTTGTTTTGTGTTTACTATCGAATGAAACACGCTATGAGTAGGTAAAAGGCTGTGGAAAGACACAGCCAAGGCCTATTTTAAAAAATTTATAGTCATTTATAGGAACGACTGAGGACAATTACGAAACCGCAGAAATTTTTGTTGGTATCTCAAAGAAAATCGGGGAATGTCACCTTCTGAATATGAAACAGGGTATCTTGGAAGAGCTCACAAACTCTCCAACCCAACCCTCTCCAGTTCACCACCGAACATAATCATCCTATTACCGGTACCTGATTACACATTACATAGCAAAGTCAGCAGAGAGCGCCGTTGAATATCCTGTGAACCATACAATAACTGCACATACGAATATGGATGCACAAAGTGCCTAAATGAAAGTACCGGCTATTTGGAGCCCATGCCGAAAGTTATCGGGCGAACATAATCTAGGTTCATATCAATCCAGAAGTCCTAAAACTCCTACATTACACGAAGGTAAATCCAGACTTTGTTAATTTTCTAAAAAAAAAAAAAATCTTATTCCACAAAAAAAATCTTTGCGTGAGGTAGATACGGAATGCAGTAAAATCCACTAATTTTACCAAAACTATTTTTGGATATTGTGCATTCTTAAAGAACTACAATGTAATGAACTGCTATATGCCGGTCACGGTAGCCGAGCGGTGTAATGCATGTACTGTATTCGCTTGCTTGGAAGCCGAGATCGTGGGTTCGAATCTCACACAACAAATGGATGTTCGTTGTGTGTATGCGTTTATTCTGTGTTTGTGTTGTCCTGTGTTTGGGTAGAGACCTCGTGACGAGCTGATCACCCGTCCAAGGAGTCCTACCATCTGTAAAAATAATCAATGAAACTGAGAAATCAGCCCTATGCTCCAAAGTGGGAGCGAAGAGGAAGAAACAAAACCTGCTATAGAGCATAATGTCTGCAATGATTCCATTGTAACATTAGACTTTTATCTCCAATAGGCCTGATTAATTTGCATGTGCATGAATAATCAAGACCATTTAAAGTCGCAAATAACGCATGTGGGAAATATGTGAACTACAAATTGAAGACTGTATCTTTTCCTTCTTGTTTCTTATATTACCTCGTTTGTTATTTTACCTTATTTCCTGTATTATGTTACACAGTACTTTATAATTTTTAAAACAAATAAATGATAAGGAGGTGTTGGAAGATCTAAAAGGGGCAGTGTCCCTGATTTGTGAAGGAGGGGAATGGGGTCGTGCTGACCCACAAAAACCACCGTTAACCAGCTTCAGCAGTGGTTGCGTGGTGCTGGAGGAAGTCAGTGAACTGTCAAACGGAAGACCTGCAGCACGAAGACGCGAGGTAAGGGCGCTACAGCTAAAATCCCTGGTGCGAGCGGAAATCTCTTACAAACAATTAAACAAAGATATATTATTCATTAGTACTAAACAATTCTAAGTTAATTAGCAATGATATTTCAACTACACAGATTATATAACATGACTGTAAAGGGGGAGACGAGTGGTGAGTAGTTTAAGATTTTAAATTGGGTGAGGCCTAGTACAGGGTGACATCTCAGCAGTTCTTGGAGAGACTGAGGAAAACAACGAAAATGTAAGTCGCATTTCCCGATACCGTGATTGGGTTTCGAACCGGTTACCTCCCGAATATATGTTGGTTATTCGATTATTTCGCGTCGCAACATCAGCTGTTGGATTTAGGAAGTGTACGTTGATTTCGGATAATGAATCTCGAATTTTTGTCGTGGCCTATTTTAAGTATTAATTAATTAAGACCATAAATTGTAAATAAATAGGGATTTTGAAGGAAGCGATTGCGATGTTTTCGCTTTTCAGTAGGACGAAACCGCAGTCAAGGCAACCAAAGTATGCACTAAGTTCCAGTCATCAAAGGGCGACGTGCGGCTCAGACGCTGTGCGGTATTGCTAAATAAATTCTATTGATAAAGCTGTCGGCGGTAGAGGTGCAGCTTCTTGGTATTCTTTACTTTTCGTTGTGTACTTACTCACTCATGGAGCTGAGCCCTTCTGGAGGAGCCGCCAATTCTGCAGCTACTCAAGAATTTCCCAGCATTTTATGGAACCCGTAGGTTCATTATCGTGTTCACAAGAGCCCTCCACTGGTCCCTATCCTGAGCCAGATCAATCCAATCCATAACATCCTATTTCATCTCTCTAAGATTCATTTTAATATTGTCCACCCACCTACGCCTTGGTCTTCCCAGTGGTCTCTTTCCTTCTGGCTTTCCCACCAATATCCTATATGCATTTCTCATCTCCCCCATTCGTGTTACATGCCCTGCCCACCTCATCCTCCTTAACTTGATCATTCTAATTATACTTGGAGAAGAGTATAAGTTATGAAACTCTTCATTGTGCTGTTTTCTCCAACCTCCTGTCACTTCATCTCTCTTAGGTCCAAATATTCTCCTCAAGACAGTACCCATATAATATACTATGAGCGACATGGTGGTATTTAATTTGAATTTTGTGTTACGTTACGGTTTATATATGTGGAAAAAAGTTTGTCAAGAAATTATGTGCATTTCTTATGAAAAAATATATTTATTTGTTTGCAAAGTGGCTCCAAATAATCCATCCAATTACAAGGCCTCAGTAAATGGTTCATAATACAGAAGGGTCCAAGAAAATGTACTCACTCGTTGATAGTCAATATTTTTGGAACAAAATGACATGTAGTTACAATCCTTGAGATTGAGAGTCATTGTATATGTTCGAAGTGACCACCATCAGCGGCTCAACAGCGTCGATGCCGCCGAACTGCTGAGCGAACTACGGCTGTCAGTGTGTCCGGTGTGATGCCTGTACACGATGCTTCAATGGTTTCTCGTAGCGCGTTCAGTGTATCTGGCTTTTGTCGATAAACTTCATCCTTCCAGGTTCCCCATAGGTAGAAGTCGAGAGGTGTTAGGTCTGGAGACCGTGGTGGGTACTCAATAGCACCTCTTCGACCTATCCATCGTCCAGGTAGAGTGTCATCCAAGTACGCGCTGACATTTCGATGGTAGTGAGGTGGAGCACCATCTTGTTGTAGGTAAAATCTCTCATCTCCAAACTCTGATTCACAGATTTTTGCTGTGATCGTGTAAAGTGTTGCAACACCACAGCACTGGAAGGTGGACTTGTTACTACCCGTGGTCGCTTATGCACATCATGAACAGTAACCGTCGGCTTCAAATTTATCCCGAATACGGGTAATTGTTCGACGTGTTGGTGGCTGAGTTCCAAACTCATGCTGCCATTGTCGTTGTACCTCTTTAATATTTTCGTACTTCCAGTATCACTTCAAATGTGACCTTTACCATCTGTTGAGAAAATATTACACTACACTACCGCGCAAGAATTGTAACTACATGTCATTTTGTTCCAAAGATATTGACTATCAAAAAGTGAGTATATTTTTTTACACCCCTGTATATATTTTAAGTCGAAGATTTGTTGACCTCAAGTCCAACCTCCGAACTTAGGGGTTGTTCTTTCTCTGACAACCGCAACTACTTGTACAATACATATATATTCGCATTTACCCTGATATCATGTAGACACAGAATGCCGCTTGGTGTATGTAGCAGATGGCCTGCCTAAATGAGAATTTTCTGTAGATGTGACTGGAGTCGATAATAAACGCCCTTATTTTATATTATTTTATTTATCCTGAATGAGCTTTATCGTAGTTCAGTATAGTATATCCTTTATCATGTGTCCTAATTTGTGCTCTAGTCCCTGTAAACTTTAATTCAGGTATTGTTTTCCAAAACAATGCTCCAGTACTAGTAAAGACAACACCACACGCTGTGGGGGAAACACGCAAACCAGGGGCATATGGCAGACATAACTGAAAAGCAGGCTGCGAACGTGAGGGGCAAGCTGCCGAAACAAAACACCCTGGACAGACATACATTTATGAACAATGGACGACACCCCGTGTGAGGTGAAATAATATGCACCAAAATAAGGAGGATATAATAGAAACTTTAAAGGATTTTATCTGGTTTTACCTTGAAAAGAGGACTACAGCGTTTGATTTTAACACGGACTAAGACAGTGTAGCAGTTTTAACATAATTCAATAAAATAATTGTAACATATCAAGACACCTGAAGATGGCCGCTTGGGGCCGAAACATATAGTGTCAAAGTGTATAATGTTAAACTAAAATTAAAATTAAGTAGTGAAGAAACAAGTGTTACAATATTGACGGACGATAAATACATGGACGTTAAGTTAAACAATTGCAACAGGACGCTGAAATACAGAATGCTCCAGTACTTCAACTAGTCCATTTATTGTGCTTCATGTTAATAACACAAGACCAGGCATATTCAAGTACCGTTATGTTTTTTGGATTTTATACAGGTAGCCCGGGAATCAAGAACATTATGGTAGGATAGATTTGTTACACTTGTGAGACTCACACCTCCTGAGATAACCTGCCTGATATGCTCATTATCTTATTGTCATAATTCTGTGGGTTAGGCTACTTACCTTTCCGCACTGTTTCAGTAATCCAAAAGCCCCTTCCTTCTCTTCTGTTTCTACCAGATGCATATTTTCTACTCAGTACTTGTGTATTTACATTCTGTCACAGGAATAAAACATTAGACTTTCAAATAAAAAAACAAACTCCGTGGTTTTAGTCCGCAAGCGAACTATACCGACCGTGCGACAGCCGCTTGTCGGCCAAGTTAGTGCCAAATTTAGCGGACAGAGGGTGTCGCGTGGTCAGCGCAACGAATCCCCACGGCCATTAATCTCGGTTTTCTAGACTATTTCCTTGAAATAGCTCTTCAGTTATCCTCACGAGGCTGAGTGGACCCCGTTCCAGACCCACTACTTTTCAGAAAATCTGGTAGCACCGGAAATCGAACCTGGGCCTCTGGATCTGTAGCCAGGAACTCTGACCACTAGACCACCCAATATCTGGTTTAAACCCCGCAAATTTTCAGTCTCCGCATAAATGTGATTTAAATTTTTCTTGTTGTCACAAGATGGCAGGTGGCATAACAGCTATTGCAGTGCTCCTTATTACCGACATAGCAATGACATGGGCTCAAGTGCCCGCCCTTGGTCCTTGTCCTGAAATCGAGACCATGCAGGGTTTCAACATGCAAAGGGTAAGTGTTTAAACAGTACTTATATATTATGGCAATTTATGCTGCTTTCATTTGATTTATCCTAGAACTACGCATATAAAAACCAAAGCAGATAAATAATCAAAGAGCTGTGATCAGTGTTTAAGCACCACGCTGTGAATGAATCTGGACTGAAGATGGTCTAAAACACTCGGGAGTACTGGTGGTTAGGCTTCACTCATTCTTACCCTCGGCAGGCGGGAGTGAGTGGTAGCCTTAAGCAACTGTCGCTTTGCAACCAACGGAAGAGCGACCGGTAACCATTAAATGGGAGGCTTGATCAACAGCAGAGCCTGGATGCCCGTGGTCACGACAGAAACGTCACTATCCCTGCAGGGACTGAGTGTAATGTGCAGTTTGGTTAGTTCTATGATATGTGGGCAACTGTATCAGTTGATACGTTGGTGTGCCGTTCTGTTCTAGTATCTGGGGCAGTGGTACGAGGCTGAGCGCTACTTCGCACTCTTCGAGTTTGCTGGCAAATGCGTCAATGCCAACTACACGGACATCGGGGACGGGCGAATCAGCATACTCAACCGACAGATGAGTTCCCTGTAAGCACTTCTTCTCACACTCCGGTCCACAATGGTCCCGTCAGATGGACCGTGGCAAATTTACTTGGCCCCTCTGGCTAGTCTACGGGTACCCCATTTTAAGTCTGTCTATAGGACGTCAGGACACTGTGCAGGTGGTTCTCAGCGCTAGCTAATTCACCGGCCAGTGAAGTACGTGAGGAGTTCCCGAGGATTAGTCCCATATCGGTCGCCTCTATAAATAACAGTATGTCAACCTAAATATATATTTTTTCTTTGGCGCTACAGCCCCAATTTTGGCCTTGGCCTACGTCCATGAAGCTCTCCGTTTCATTTCGGTTTACTAGATCTTGGACATTCGGTAGGACTCCTTGGGCGGGTTATCAGCTCGTCGTAAGGCCTCTATCTGCACACAAACACACACACACACTAAACATCCATGCCCTGAGGGGGATCCGAACCCACGTTCCCGGCGTCCGAGCGAGAAGACAGTGTATGCCTTAGACCGCTCGGCTACCGTGACCGGCCAACCTAAATATTACTAGAAGCTAAAGTTGTCTTTGTACTTATTTAATTAAGCACTATGCCATGAAGACATATCGGGGAGCGGAGGTATAGCTCCACCATTCTCGACCTATGCACTAGATTTATGACAGGGGTGATCTTCACGCCCCGACTGCTTTACCCCGGAGGAAATCGTGTCCTGCACACATTAGATAGNGGGGGGGGGGCCCAGACCCGGTCTGGAAGCTGTGGAGAAGAGAAAAATCTAACTCCGGCCGTTCGGCCCGTAGCCCGTCGCCATACCAACTGAGCTATCCTGACTCCTCTAAATATTACTAAGACATCGAAAAATTTTTATATTGAATTCAAAAATCATCGCCTTTATGCTATTATAAAGTCGAAGATATAACACAATCAACCACACTGGATACAGGCAGATATTAATAATGTGTGAGCAAATGTGAAGTAATTTGTCAGAAAACATTCCTGTCGTGAGGTGTAAAGTAAGCCAGTTACGAGTTAAGAGTAACACCTCCAAGCACGAACTATTCACGAGCTGGAAGCAGACTGAAAACGAAAAGGTCACCAACTACAAAATAGTAATTCAAGTTGTGATGGAACACACACATGTTCAATAATACAACATTAGATCAGACAGTGATGTTTTGGAGAGCCTGCTGCAGAAACTGGGGATCCCCCGTGTGGAATATGTGACCGCTTATGAAGATTCTGGAGACTGGAGTTGTCCGTGGGTCTTTCAGATGATTTGAGGGCCGTTTCAAATTTGCTTTATTGCAGTCTGTTATTTAATGTCGCTGTATCAGTACTAAGGATGATGTAATGTGGAAAGTAAGGTAAGGCCGAGGTGAGCGGGGATAGCCTAGTCGGTATAGCGACAGGCTACGGGCCGGACGGCCCGGATTCAATTCCAGACAAGGATAGAATTTTTAGGCAGCTCCATAGCTCAAGTGGTTAGTCACTGGCTTCCCACCGCGGCGGACCGGGTTCGATTCCGGGTCTAGTCAAGTGGGATTTGTGGTGGACAAAATGGCGCTGGGGCAGGTTTTCTCCGGTACTTCGGTTCCCCCTACCAATCTTCATTCCACCAATTGCTCCACAATCACCCTCACCTATCATCTTGGGCTGGTACAATAGGCCAGAAGTGGCCGCAGTACAAGGGACTTTGTCCCACCCCACTAGAAATAAAAAAAAAAGGTAAGGCCGACAATATTCCGAAGACAGGAATATGGAGGGTGGCAGTCGTGGCCTACTTCAATTGCTGTCTTGGAATTAGTCCATTTGTCTGACGTAATTCAGAGAAAATCTCAAACCATGTATCCAGGCGTGCGTGAACCGGCAAAATAGAAAAGTTACCGTTTTCAAAATCTGCTCTCTCTTTGTTCGAACTGTCCCTTCTTAAGACGGGGTTTCAGGGGGATCGATTCTTAAAGTATCTGGCTAAACTCTCGATTGAAGAGGTTATACAGCGATGAAAAAAGTAAAGGGAGTTTCAGAAGTTATAAAGAAGGCGCTTATGGCCACTGTCAAGACACTCTCCAAGAATTCGTCTGGAGAAGCAGAGGAAATCTATCTGAGCTTCGAAACGGAGTGCTTCAGAATGCAGGTACTTGTGCCGGCTGTTCTGAGGCTTGCGGGGAATAGTAAACTTTCCGTGCCTTCCCCTTTGACCCGGAATTATCAAGCTCAGAGTCTCCAGTTGTACATAGAATTACCGCTACACTAGCCTAGTTTCTATAAATATACATATCGAACCCAAATCAAGCCAAACCATTTCAAACCAAACCGATGCCCAAGCGAAACAGATTTAAGGAACCTAAATGAACCAGCCCAGACATACCAAATGCAATCTCATTAAGTTGAATAGGGGAGCCGGGATAGCTCAGTATACAGACTAAGCTACGAGCTGGACAACCGGAGTTCGATTTCCGGGAGGAAAAAGGATTTTCTTTTATGTGTAGCGTTTATACAGGCTCTGGGGCCCATGCATCCTCCTATCCTTTGTGTACCCCGAGCTGTTTCCTCGGGGGTAACGTGGCATTTAGTACTGAGGTCAAGACATAGTGCCATATTACGTAATTAAATGCAGGGTTGACATAGTTTACATATGCCTGCACTGCTATGAGCAGCTTCATCAACGCTGACACTGTCAGGCCCAAGCGATGTACACACAGTTCAACTGTGCCTCGCACGCGAGCAGCTAACAGTACTGTGGCATTGTCTCGTTCAGCTGAGCAGTTATGGGATTGGTCCCCAGGCATCTCACAAGTGGGTCCATAGGTCACACGAATTTTACCACAATTTCCACTCATATCTCTCAGCTGGGAGTTAGAGTCTAGGTCCGGAGACAAGACGAGCTTATATTTGCCATGGTTTTACTCAGTTCCTCCAGAATATTCCGGGATAGTACGTTTAAATAGGCTATGACCGGCTCACTTCGTACCCTTCCCAATTCGTCATTCACAATCATTCCTCAGATTCAGTTCTATATAGCCTACTCAGTTGAAATGACATTATTAAACACTAAGCCAGCGTAGCTGAACCTTCTTGAGTCAACTTTGCTCGTTGGTCTCAGAACGAGAGGCTCTCGTGCCCGTTTCGAACGGTACCTTTAACTTACCTTAAACTGCACATAAGATAAGAACGGTAAAGCTATCCCTGTAATAGGCCGTGGAGGCCCATAGGACTGTGAGATGTCGAGGCTCCCACATTTTCTAGACAATCGTCCCACAGATAGCGGTGAGGTTGCTAGCCTTTTAGGAAGATTCCTGGTCCTCTTTTCTCTTAGAGGCTGAGCCTACCCCAGAAACATAGTGCGGCTTGAAGGATTAGGACAATTTAAAATCCAATAAACTCATCGGGAATCGAACCCGCGACTTTCCGACATATAGCATAGTGCCTCAACCAAATACCTACCGCGTGCCCTTTAACTGCACATAAGATAAGAACAATTTTCATTTTAAACAAACTTTATTCATTCCATGCACAGAAAAGTTATATAAAAATATAGAGCTGTCGACACTTCCTTAGGCCCTTTCGATAATGTTCGAAAGTATGTAAAATGTACATCACGCACCAACCTATAAGCTTCACATACACCCTGCACTAGAAATAAACTCTAAAATCCAGCCTACAAATTAGAAGAGCTCTCATAGCAGAATAATGTCACAGGTTGAGACACACTGCTACAAGCCGGAAGGTCGCGGGTTGAAGTCCCGATGAGGTCATTTGATTTTTTCAATTGACCTAATCCTTCCAGCTGCACTACGGCCCCGGGGTCGACTCAGTCTCAAACAGAAACGAGTACCAGGAATATTCTTAGGGGTAAAGGGCGGCCGGGGCGTAAGGCTGACAACCTTGCCGCCATATAAGAGCCGATTGTCTAGAAAATGTGGGAACCTCAACATCTCACAACCCTATGGGCCTCCACGGCCTGTTACAGGGATGGCTTTACTTTACTTTTACTTAACTGGGTTCGACAATCATCTACACTTCCACGTCCTCACACACAGCGGCTCTTCTGAATCTCAGTTATGTTGAGCTGGCGTTCTCACAGCCATGGCAATGAATAGTACTATCTTATAGGATATAATGCCGCTTAGCCCGCTACAAGTTCACAGACGTTTCGGAGTAACGTACTTCATCCACCTTCAGGGTCGAAGAATAAACCGACGAAGAAACCGGCAAGAAGTATGCGGCAGGCAGAATGAATCTCATGCATTGATCCAGGATCTGATATAGGATAGGAAGGAACTCAGAGAAAACAAAAAGGAAACAAAAGCTTAGAAAGGACAGTTTGTTGTTTAGAGGAATGGCAACAAACGAAGAAGACACACGACTTCCGTCTCGGCTGTTCCCATTCCTGTGTGTAACAATTACTTTTCTCATGTCTCCTGTTTGTTCTGTCCGAGTCCTTACAGGCAGTAGGTCCTCCATATTGGTTCTGAGTTCCTTCCTGTTCTACCACGTACGTGTATATTAGATCCCGATTTTCCGCACGCGGTTCATTCTCTTTGCCGCCTGCTTGTAGCTGGATCCTTGCTTAGCTTACTTTTGACCATGAAGATGGAGGCTGTACGATTCTCCAAAAGTCTGTGAACTTTTAGCAGACTATATTCTTTTACACCCCTGAAGAAATATCCGTAATCGTGAGATGTGGAGACAAATTTGTAGACCTGAGATACCCATGTTGGATCCAGGAGAGCAGAGAGCTGCAGACATATCGGCATTAGATGGGGATTGTCAGCTTAGCGTTCGGACAGAAAGTTTCCTCCAGTTAAGCCTATGTAAAACAGCACATTTATCGGTAAAGTTTTCTCGTCCCGAGAATGTGAACTGGAAACCAATGTAGATTTACCTCTAACAAGCGAAAACTGTTTAACTCGAAAACGGAGCATTTGTCGTTTGTTTCTCAAGTCCAGTACGGAATAATTTTCATACAAGTGGGCAAGATTAATCCTAACCTGCGACAATAAATATGCAGGACACCTTAATTGGGAAAGAAAACAATGAAAGACGGTGAGAAATGAGACTCATCACTAGCGTTGTAGTGTACATAAGTAGCATGAATCTCTCAATAGTAATTTCGATCATATACGAGTACACTTTCTACGTCTTGTGTTCTTTGTCTCTGTTTTTAACAAAAAAAACATTGCTCCAAATAACATTTACTGTGACCACATTAACACACAAAATCCGAACTAACCCATGACACAAAGACTGCTTCATCCTGTAGTCGTAAGATCCGTAAGGCAGACGCACCAGCCCTACAATTCCTTACTGGAAGAATCAGTACGATTATTAGTAAAATGAGTTGTCAGATAAAGTACCTCCCGCCGTCCGTTCTGCATGTCAGGTGACACCATCCTCCTTGATTTCATTTCTCTAGGCCATCCTGGGCGCCGATCACAGTCGCCGAGGGGTCTTAAGCATGAACCGTCTTCGCCCGCTCGGACACTGGGATCGTTGGTTCGATTCCCACTCGAGGCATGGATGTCTGTGTGCGTTTATTCTGTGTTTGGGTTGTTCTGTGTGTAGGTAGCGGCCTTGCGACTTGCTGATCCCCCGTCCAAGGAGTCCTATCGACTGTGTATAGATTAAGAAACTGAAATAGCGGCCAAGATCCACAAGGGCTGTAGAGCCATAGATAGATAGCCATACAGGGCGCCGAGAAATTTAATGTGTAATTTTCTCTGGTCCTTTTTTAATCTCATCCATGTTGGTTCAGAATAGCTTTCTTGAGTGCTTCATTTTTAAACACTTTAAGGTTATTTGTTACTGCGCCACAGGTGAATTCTGAATAAGGAAGTTAGATCCACTTGCGTGGTGTGCGCCTCAGTTTGTTTTCCCCCATTTTCGAGAGCAAAGTGTATACTGTCTTTCCAGAAGCGTTTTCTCTGTGTTCGCAGGACGGGTATTCGATCCACGATTGAAGGTGAAGTCCGTCTAATAGGACGAACTGACGAATCGAAGCTCAGCGTCAAGTTTCCGTCCTTGCCAGGTACGTTTATGATTATAATGCGTTGAGGAGAAACTTAGGATACACTGAGAAGAAAATCAATTGCAATGCGCACGACAAAATTACGGCGTGTATGTGTGTGTTTGTGTGTTGAAAAGCGATGGCTTAATTTAAAAGCAACAAAATATTTTGATAATGGCTGTGAACTGATCATCCTTTTGCTTTGGAAATTATATGGGAAATTGATTGCGTAACAGATGCTCCGTTCTGAGAATTACTTCATCACCTGCTTATTAGTAAACTAGTAATAAACATACAGACTTGAAAGGATTCTGACGATGGTGTATACTGTACTTCTTTTGGCTTGTTTCGGACTTCATCCATCGTCTGGTATGTAAAAGACAAAAGACCACGACGTTTCGGAGACTGAATCTGTCTCCGTCTTCAGGAGGGTGGGGAAGGATAAACCTACTCAATTCGGCCCGTCAGAAAGAGCTAGTCTCAACCACTGGACCTTCCCTACCTACCTGAAGACGGAGACAGATACAGTCTCCGAAACGTCGTGGTCTTTTGTCTTTTACATACCAGACGATGGATAAAGTCCGAAACAAGCCACACGAAGTACAATAATAAACATGTCCCAACCGAGTCCAGTGGTTAGCGTTTGTATTTGGAAGGAACAAGTTTCGATTCGACTGTTAGGACGAAGTGCTTTAGCGGGTTTTTCTGAGTCCAACGAACCAAATCCTGGAATTTTACCTTGAAATAGACCACGACATTTTTCGAAACCCTTCAGAATTCACCATTCACGACCGTCATACCATCCCATGCTGCATGTGCAGAGTGTCCCAGGAGGAAAGTTCAATATTTTGGGAGGACACACTATCGGTCATTCTATGCAAAAATAAAAGGGTATATGCACATGTTTCCTTTTCCGAACGGTTCAGAGATACAGCTATTTCACTGTACAGTTCCAAAATTTTTGATAAGAAAGAGATATTACGTAATGTTTCTAACACCGGTATTTATTGTTCAAATGATAAAGTTGGTACAGTTTACCTAATACAATACATTTTCGAAAATTCCACCGTCAACATCAATGTACTTTGCAACTCGTGTGAGGACGTGGCGTGATGCTCGTCTGAGTGTAACTTGACGTTCCCGTATCTCGGAAACCGTTCAGAATGGGGCACATCTACCTATACACTGCTTCGCTTAAAATGACCTGCAAGAATACTGACCTCTCGTCCTGGGACATTCTGTATTTTTTATTTATGAAAGCGTTGTTAGATGAGCTAATAGATGAGACATTTAGAATTCTAAAGTAAATGCAAATGGTGGACATCGGCTGGGTATTGTCCACAAGGAAAGGCGGAAAATTAATAAAAATTACTTCTTTTGCTACAGATCTGTCAGCATACAGAATTCTGATACACTAATTCCAGTTTGCACGCGAATGTGCAGAGGACGCCGAGAAGCGTGGAAGTGACGTGGTTTCCACTGTTACGATATACAGGCAAATTTTCCAGTTAGTGTCTACAGTCTCAGATAAGCCCTGTTTTCCAGACACGAGACTCGCAACATTAAATATGTTCGCCCACACTACAAATTACAGCAGAAAGAAATATTTAAACGGAAAATTGTCTAACTGAACACTCGTCCATCTCATAACCTGATGGTTGGATCTATTATTTGGGTAACTGAAGAAAATATTGAGAATGTTCAGTACGCATACAGGTTTCCGAATCGAATGGCTGAATAATGGACATTGAATGCTGATGGAGATTTTTGGTTTTGTGTTTATTATAAGTAAAAAGTAAAGGTATCCCTGTAACAGGCAGTGGAGGCCCATAGGGTTGTGTGATGTGGAGGATCCAACATTTTCTAGACAATCGGCTCACAGATGGCGGTAAGGTAGTCAGCCTTATGCGCCGGCCGCCTTTACCCCAAGAATATTCATGGTACTCATTTCTATTAGATGCTGAGTCGACCCCAGAGCCATAGTGCGGCTGGAAGGATTAGGCAAGTAGAAAATCCACCTCATCGGGATTCGATCCCGCGACTTTCCGGCTTGTAGCGTAGTGCCTCAACGAACTACGCTACCGCGTGCCCCCCTTTTTCCACATGGTGAACATGTTTCGAAATTCTAGGGACACGAATGAAGTATGTGAAGTTGTAAAAAGGTATCGGAAATATGTGTGTGCTCCATGGAGTACGTCCTGACACTCCAGACAGGACTCCGCTTCCTTAGCTGTTGTTACTGATGTCTTGCTGCCCTCTGTTTCAGTGCTGGTGGACGCTCCATACTGGGTGCTGGGTACGGACTACGAAAACTACGCCGTCGTGTGGTCTTGCTCCAATTTCGGCCTCTTCAGTACACGTGAGTTCTCTCTAACAAATTCAACCATTCAGAACAACATGAAACATTTATTTTATTTCATTAATATAGCTCTACCACCTTTGTGGTCTAGTGGTCAGAGTTCCTGGTTACCTATCCAGAGGTCCCGGGTTCGATTCCCGGAGCTACCAGATTTTCTGAGAAATAGTGGGTCTGAAACGGGGTCCACTCAGCCTCGTGAGGATAACTGAGGAGCTACTTCAAGGAAATAGCAGCTCGGGTCTTACTTACTTACTCGTGGAGCTGAGCCCTTCTGGAGGAGCCGCCAATTCTGCAGCTACTCAAGAATTTCCCAGCATTTCATGGAACCCGAAGGTTCATTACCGTGTTCACAAGAGCCCTCCACTGGTCCCTATCATGAGCCAGATCTATCCAATCCATACCATCCCATCTTATCTCTCTAAGATCTATTCTAATATTGTCCACCCACCTACGCCTTGGTCTTCCCTGTGGTCTCTTTCCTTCTGGTTTCTCCACCAATATCCTATATGCATTCCTCGGCTTCACATTCGTGCTAAATGCCCTGCCCATCTCATCCCTCTTTACTTGATCATACTAATTATACTTGGAGAAGAGTACAAGTTATGAAGCTCCTCATTATGCGATTTTCTCCAACCTCCTGTCACTTCATCTCTCTTCTGTCCAAATATTCTCAACACACTGCTCTGAAATACCCTCAGTCTATCTTCCTCCCTTAATGTCAGAGACCAAGTTTCACACCCATACACAACCACAGGCAAAATTATAGTTTTGTACGTATATTCTAATTTTTATATAGACGAGAAGACAAAAGGTTCTGGACTGAATGGTAGCAAGCATTACCAGAGTTCAATCGCCTCTTAATTTCCTCCTTAATCAGGTTTCGGTCTGTTATCGTTGTTCCCAAACATTTGAATGGTGCCATTATTTTCAAAACATCTGTTTCCTATCTTTATGTCATGATTTGCACTGCATTTTGGTGACGAGACAGTAACATATACTTAGTTTTCTCTGTGTTTACTTCTAGACCAACCTCTTTACTTGCGCCAATAAAAGTTTGTGTGTTTTCCTTTATGGTATCTACATTATCAACCAATAGATTCATATCATCGGCGTAGACCAACAGCTGATGTGTCCCGTTTAATTTCAGTCCCACCTGGTTTCCTTGGACCTTCCTAATTGAATATTCTAAGACAAAGTTGAAAAGGAGTGGCGATAAAGCATCTCCTTGTTTTAGACCATTCTGGATAGGAAACTTATCAGACAAATAATTTACCTATACGGACTTTACTATACGTTTCGTTTAAACACATTTTAATCAACCTAACTAGTTTCATGGGTATCCCAAACTCTATTAGAATATTGTACAATACTTCCCTCCTAACTGAATCATAGGCTTTCTTTTAACCGAAATTAACGGCTTTGGGGATTCGTTGCGCTGACTAAAGCCACGGAGGTTTTTTATATTATAACTAGATTTTCTGTTGAATTTTTCATTATATATTCTGGGCCAATGCTTCGCTAAAGATTACTTTTACATGAATACACACCTTTCAAGTCTGTGCATATTATTTTAAAATAATTTTCTTTTTAATCTTTTGTTTCGAGAAGAAGGTGTTTTTAGTTATTTAAGGACGCTTCCTTAACTGCTTAGGTTACTTACCGTCGAATGGCTGGTTTTGAATGATCAACGTTCTTCGCATCACTTTCCTGGAGGGGCCGAGGATAGAAAAATTAGGAAATTTAGGTCCTGCTCCCCGGCCTGGGACTGAAAACAGGTCTCAGGAAGGAGGGCCAACCACTCGCTTGAAATATCGGCCCTTAATTCACCAGTTAGTAGATAGAGCTCCAGAAAAATACTACGGAATTGTCATTAAGTAAACCACAGCTGTTCGTGGTCGAATTTCTCTCGAGCTAGAATTCATAATTACCATCATATCTCAATGACACTGCGCTTAATGCAGCATTAAATCATGTGTGTATGGCCATTGCCTTATTGCAGGTAATGCGTGGATTTTGACCCGAAGTCGGCACCCGACGCTGGAAATAATGGAGAAAGCATATTCCGTGGTGGATAAACACGGCATCAGTCGGGCTTACTTTATTCGTACCGACCAAAAGAACTGTCCCAAGATGCTGTATTAAAACATTTCACATTGAAATTGTGGTGCTGCCCAATGCACATTCAAGTCAGAAATCTTCTGGAATACGTTACTGAACGAATTGCGATGTGATGTTCATTAAGTATACGTTGAGAAAGTGATCAGAGCGGAAAATTCACACAGAGTTGTAACGGTAGTTACATTTCTCACTCGGTCTGCCCGAAAACCTTTACATCTGACTCCGTCATTAAGAGTATGAGAACATATACGAAATAATCAGACTGAAACTACAATCAAAATTCCCACAACCTTCACTGAATTGGGGCTGAGAAAGAAATGTTTCTATTCTGAAAACAGAGGAGAATTTCATTGCAGACGGCACCCGAATTTTCAGTGGCACTCCCCACATTACAGATGGCCTGCGCCGGCGACTGAGTCAACGACAACCGGGAGAGTTCCAGTGAAATTCTTGGAGTTGTCTGTGATATAATCCGCATGCTGTGAAAATGAATTTGTTTTGATAAGGCCCGTTCTATGAGAATAATTAGAATTTGAGTAGACCAAGTTTTATCTCTAATAGGGCGCTCAGCAGCGTCTGAGAACACATCATGTAGAAATGCAAAATGTGATAGAAACGCTATGGATGGAGGGAGATATATCAGAGGCACGCATGTTAAGTGTTATGACAATTAAAATAACTATTTATAAACCGACTGCATTGGGAAGGCTGTGGGGCATACTCATTCAAAAACATTTTGCTTATAGTCTTTTGTTAGTAATTTATTGCTACTGTTTTCAGTTCCTTGTATTACAATGATATATTAATTTATTTTTAATTTATAGACTCTGAGGCCTAATAAAATTACGAATTTGTTTCAAACAGTGTTTCGTTTTAATAAATCCCTATTAAGTTACAATTGTTATAAGTGAATGGTTTTCTGTCTGTTAAATATGTGAATTATACTGCATTTCATAATTTTGACTTCAGTTATGTTTTTTTGATGCCATAAGAAAAGAACTAAGTGAAATGAGCAGAGATATTTTTGATAAAGGTAAAGTAAAGCTATCCCTGTAACGGGCCGTGAAGGCCCATAGGGTTGTGAGACGTCGAGGCTCCCACATTTTCTCTAGATAATCGGCTCACAGATTGCTGTAATATTGTCAGCCTTAAGCGCCGGCCGCCTTTTACCTCCCAGGAACATTCCTGTTACTCTTTTCTGTTAGAGGCTGAGTAGACACCAGGGCCATAGTGCGGTGGAAGGATTAGGTCAATTGAAAAGATCCACCTCATCGGGACCCAAACCCGCGACCTTCCGGCTTGTAGCATAGTGCCTCAACCAACTACACTGCCGCGTGCCCCCCCCCCCGAGATATTTTTGATAAAATGGGAATTGCCCATCTGATATTTCCCATTTTTATGGAATCTGAAGGTCCAATCCAAAGTTACGAGAGCCCGCCATTGGACATAATTCTTACCCAGATCAATCCAGTCCATACAGACAAACGTTATTTCTTTAAGATCTATTTTAATGTTATCTTTCCATCGATCAGAACAGAATGGGCATATTTAGAAAACGTACAACATAATGAGGATTCTCTTGATCGAAATAATTCTAGAAGTTGTGATTATGTATCGCCAAAGGCCTCCCAGCCAAGCTGCCTCAGGTTCGTGTTACTGCCCTGCAGAACGCTACTGATGTTTGCACTTATTGTATATCAGAATAACACCGGAAATTCATCAGTGCATATGCCCAGTCAGAGCGCCCACACTGGAAGGCCGAACACTCCAGGAGACCCAGTGTCTAAAACACGGAAATGTTAAGGAGAAAGCAAAAATCATTTCGGTATTATACTTTTTTTATTGCTAGTGGGGTGGGACTAAGTTCATTGTACTGCGGCTACTTCTGGCCTATTGTACCACCTCCAGATGATAGGTGAGGGTGATTGTGGAACAATTAGTGGAATGAAGATTGGCAGGGGAAACCGAAGTACTCGGAGAAAACCTGCTGCAGCGTCACCTTGTCCACTTCAGAGCCCACTCAACCAGACCCGGGATCGAATCCGGGCCGCCGCGGTGGGAAGCCAGAGACTAACCGCTTGAGCTATGGCGCGGCCAGGTATTATATTTAAGTGTTCTCTCCTCTGTCCGAGCCGATGTATTGTGTAGATGTTCAACACAGACAATATTCAGTCTCCGTCTGAGACAGAGAGGAGCAGGAGGTCTCCTGCTCTGATCAGTCAGAGCGCCTACACTGAAAGGCTGACCCGTCATCTGTCGAAGAGGGGACGCAGATGCTTGCCAGTGATAGGGAGGACACATAGACACACAGGCAGGAAAGTAAAAAGGTAAAAAATAAAGCTATTCCTGTAACAGGCCATGGAGGCCCATAGGGTTATGAGACGTTGAGGGTCCCACATTATGTAGATAATCGGCTCACAGATGGCTGTAAGGTTGTCAGCCTTACGCGCCAGCCTCCTTTTACCCCCCAGGAAGTTTCATGGTACTCATTTCTGTTAGAGGCTGAGTGAACCCCAGGGCCATAGTGCGGCCGGAAGGATTACGTGAATTGAAAAATTCCACCTCATCGGGACTCAAACCTGCGAACTTCCAGCTTGTAACATAATGCCTCAACCAACTACGCTACCTCGTGCCGCTACTGCAGGAAAGTAGAGTAAAGATATTAGACCGGGCTCTGTAGTCTGGTGCATGATTAAATCTACACTGTGCCACATCTCAAAGTTCGCGATCTTAATATTCGTCGCTGTGAGAAGCTCAGGCACTCGAATTCGGTTCACTGTAAATTGGAGCAGCTGCTTTTCCAGCAATAGGTATCTTGGGTAGATGGGAACCCCGTACTCTGACTCATCGAAGTGGGCCGCGGTCATGTAGCCACCCGCTGGAACACGCACTGCCTCTGGCAAAGGGAACATTTCCAATACTGATGTAGCCTCAACTCTTTTCGCCCCACAACTTACAGAGTGACATGAATGCGACCATCTCACGCCATTTTCTTCTATCTTATTAGTTTAATTCTGCTCTATGTTGACATTTCACGCACATTTTCGCCTCTCCGCTGGGCTACCGAATATGCTTCGTCTTCTCCATTACTACATGTTCTGACTTCCAACATATTTTCGAAAGGAAGCAAGCAGATAAAATGTTTTAAACACGTGAAAATTGTAAGTATAATTTTAAAGGATTTTTACGTAGGAAAATTGTGTTGACCACGTTCTCAATTCTAATATTTATCTTCTTTGTTCTGACGAATACGATATACATAAAAGTGCAATTTGTTTTGTAGAACTTCGTTTTGAATATAGAGGATGAATCTCAATGCGCGGACAAATATTGCTGATGAACTCCACATACCAGAAGAGAAAATGAAGTTCATATAAATGTGGGTCCGCGAACTTGTTTTGCGGGTTACAGCTCGGCGCATTTAATGGTCAGTTCAACTGATATTCTCAACTTTGGTGATTTTTGTCTTTCTCACAGGATAACAAAAGCCTCCGCACATATCATAGACCTACATTTGACTTTTAAACACGTTTTTAATATTGTTATGAGGCTGTGCTATGGCTCAGGCGGTTAGACGCCGGCTTCCCACCGCAGCGGCCCATATTCGAGCCCAAGTCACGTCATGTGGAATTTGTGGTGGACAAAGTGGCACTGGAACAGGTTTTCTCCGAGTACTTCAGTTTCCCCTGCCAATTCTCATTCCACTAACTGCTCCACACTCATCATCATCTACCGTTAGGGGCCGGTACAATAGACCAATTAGTGGTGGACGTACCAAGTGGACTCAGTCTCACCCACCCCAAGAAACTAAAGAAACTAATGTTATGAGTGTCAATGTTTAGAGTTGAGCGGTGTTGGTCATGTGTATTGTGTGTAGTGGCAAACTGCACTAGAACTACTACAGTACGTAGTGCGATACAGCATCAATGTCTATCCGTTTAACGGAGTGGCGGACATCCATCTCATGTATGATCGTGCCGACGGAAATGGTCTGAGGACTGCTCGCCCCTGCCAGGAAACTTTCCCTCACCATAGTCACCCAAATCATAAAATGTTTGCTGCCTTTGGTCTTCAACTCTTCAGACTGAACACCAGAGCCTCTTGGTGTCAGTGGAGGAAGGGGGAGATCCGTCTGGACAGCTGATGGTCAGGAGCGTGTTGAAGAGAGTCTAGTTGTCAGCACAGGACAAAAAGCTGCAGAGTTCACCACTAAACAAATGGAAGTCTGGGAAGAGCTTATGAGCACTTGCTGTACCCATACCATTTGCAATGCTTCCAGGGCCTCAAGCCTGCCAACTGCCCACCATGGAACACTTAGAGCGAGGGCACACCGAGGAAACTGGCAACCGCAACGCAACCGCAATTTTCGAGAAATGTCGACTATTTCAAGTAGGCAACTACTTTCCAGACTAGCAGGCGCACACTGAGGAAACTTATGTTTGAGTAGCTGCTCACGTCATCTTAAGAGGTTATGTTCGTCCGACGTAATGCATGATTGTATTTATTAGTTTTGTGCACTTAATTTCTGCAATGGAAGATGATAGTACTCTTCCTGTAATAATGTGGTGGTAGTTGAGCCCGGGTGAGACGGCGTGAGAAGAGAGGACACCGACCATAAGGGAAATATTGGGATGATAATTAATTTATTTTATTTCAGAACAATTTATTTTAATCAGGAAATATCGCATTCACATGTGATAGGAAATTTTGAAATACAGTGCAATAATTTTAGAAAAATAGAAGATACCTGATGATGGCCGTATAAGTACAACCGAATCATGTGGAAGAAGGGTGACTATATAAGAAGTTGCATTTAGAGCGGAAATATACGTGACATAAATGATATATTTATGCAACAGGATGCCTAAATACAACATTAAGAAAAGAAAACATTGGGTGCATCAGTTCTTCCATGAGAGTTTAAAATGAAGCGCTTATATTGTTTCGAAAGAACATAACCTGGATCCAGACTCCTTGAGGGAAATTCTTTCCCAAGAAAAAACTCTTTGTCCTGCCTAGCACAGTCTGTGTGGCGGTTGTCATATGCACCAGGCTCTTGCTCAATTAACTGCACAGAAACAAAATTGGCAGCTTCGTCAGCCTTTCGTGCCATCTTAAGAAACTAATGAATCACTGAAGTGTGTTATAGAACAGCTGACACTAGGAAACCACAAGGCAACACAATTGTGAGAAGACTGGCATGCTCCGTTGCCTGGAAGTTGAGTTTCTCAGTCTCTTCACGAGTTGCGTTGCCGTCCCCTCAATTTGCGCTGCTCCATTCACTAACAAGTATTCAACTCAGGCTGATAACAATTCTCGGAAATCGCGGTTGCGTTGCGGTTGACAGTTTCCTTAGTGTCAGTGGTTTGTTCGACTGAGGGCTTCGCCTCTTTTCCTTTTGTCAGTGCTCTTTTCAGATGAGACAGGTTTTGGTAGAGACGACATCTTAAATTTTGACAAGCACCACCAGCGGGCGGAGAACAGTCCCCACAATGTACTCCAGTCTAGACACCGGCATCTGTTTAGGCAGGTCTTGTTTAGTCTTGTTTAGTACGGACGCATGTCTCGCCACGTCGGCTTATAGACATCCGCTACCGAGATTTCCTCTTCTCTAAGGGGTACTTCCCGCAGTCAGAGTACGTGTGTGGTTCTGTGTGATGATGTTCCAGCATTTCAGCTGCGTTATGGCTATCATAACAGATGGACAGGTAGAGGAGGGCACACTGCGTGGCCCCCGAGCTCACATGACCCAAATTATCTAGATTTATGCCTGTGACGGCACTTAAAAACCCCTGTGTATTCAGCTCTTGTTCACAACGTAGACA